TTTTATACGCAATAACTTTAATGTTTCGATTTCTGATACCACCGCGCATAATGTGGTTATATTGATTCTTCGTACGCACTACCGGTTCGAAAATTGCTGAACGCCGAAATCGGATGATACAACGTGAACCCGTAACCATATTACAACCATAGGTGCAACTAGGGGGCGAAATAGGGTTTTCAGCACCCCTGAATTCGAATGTAACATTTGTGTTTTTTTTTTTTTTATTTATATAATCTATAGTAATTACAGTTAGATACCATTTAATTTTGTTTTCAGCTATTTCAGCATACTTAATATTTGGGCTCTAGTTGCGCCCATGATTACGACGCGTGACATTGCGTCATCGTCAGGTGCTCTGCGGAACACTAAACGGAATCCGATGTCCATCCCGGGTTCAATGATCAGCCGTTTAATATTTCTCAAATGGAATCGAAAAGAACCGCATCGACTTTACCGAATAAAACGCTTTGCCGTCGAGATTTTTCCCCGTGTGTTTGTTCCTCATCAACATTAAAATCACAAATTTATTATTTAATAAAAAAACAATATAAAATACGATATAATAACGTTTACTTAAACGTATAATACCGGTATGAATGCGGATTGCATCGATTTTAATAATAAAAGTAAATAAAACACTCATAGTAACATGAAACGTTAAGCAAATAAAAATGCCAAATTATTAGCTATGAGTTGATTCGTAAATCGTAAACGGTAATCAATTTTGAAGCAACATAGTCTAGGGATTGAATTTCGAGAGTAGTTTTGAGTACCTATGAATCTTATAATTTCATAAAACAATATGTTATATCCGTACGTTCAGAGCCGTGCCTAGGGGGGTGCGAGAGGTGCGTGTGTACCGGGTGCCAAAAGCTCTTTCAAAATCGAAGTAATATTACTGTAAGTTAACCATATTATTTAACTCATATATTTAATACATTCAACGCCATGGTATTGACGCGTAGTCAACATCATTAATTTAATGTCTTGATCGGCGGTGTGGTTAGTTTATTTTTAGTAATAGTATTTATTTTTCACTTAAATGACGACATCGTCGATAACAAATCAACAATAATATAAAATTTATACTATATTATGAATGTTACTTGATATAATTTATTTCATAACATTAATGACAAAAATGAATATCGACTTGAACGAGTTGTACGATTTTATTTTGAATCCATCAAATAGATAGCATCTATGATATTGTTTACATAATTTACATAATAATAGTAATAATAATATATATGTTATTATTACTATTATTATTATGTATTTGTTTTGTTCTACCTACAATTTGAGTTATATTTCTTATATTGTTTTTTAGATGTTGATTATTTCTTTTATTGATTTAATAAATACAAAATTAGTAGTTATATAGAATCCCCTATTCTTATTTAGTCTCCTTATAGCATAAAGATATAAAAATATTTAGTAGAGGGGGTAGGGGCGTTAAAAATGATTCTCTTGGCACCAGGTGCTAATTTTGCTAGGCACGGCACTGCGTACGTTTATTGTATTATATATATATATATATATCCTCGCGACGTTACTGAAAAAAAAAAAATCCATATAATCAGAAAAACTTAATGAGAGATCAAATTAATTTATTTCGAGGAGTATATAAATTTTCGAAAAAATAATAACCATAACACGATGCAGATGTGTCTAGTGAATTGTGAAACTGATAGATGGTCGAATAACATTTGAACTCTCGGAACCACCCTTTCGATACTTACTGAAACAACGGTGCTCGTTTAAAGCAATTTACTTAATTTCAAACTGAAAACCAAATACCAGATAAAACAATCAAATAAATTTCAAATATTTTACGAATGTGTTTATATTCGGACGTCATGATTTGTGACTACTGTGTTTTTATCTCCTTACCACAGACTATATGAAAACAGATAGCTCACTCGGCCGAAAACAATGGAGAAATAAATAAGATTCTCTGATTGGGTGCGACATAATCAGTGTAACTGCATGCATTTAACTACATTATTTTTCAGATTTTATACAATATTATTGCATATTTGTGTGTATCATTTACAACCATTTGAAATTAACCATTTTAAAATATATTTCCATTTAATAAAGATCGTAAATCAAGCATTAATAAAAGCATAATAAGATCGATATATTTTATTGTGTTAAATGATAATTGATCAGTAAGTTAATGACATGAATCTGTTAAAGGCAATAGTTATAATTGTTTATTATTTATTATTTATTATTTTTTAGTTAACACAAGATTTTAACAACGATGATAATGAAATCATACTAAACATAATAAAAATATTTATTTCAATATTTGAACATTATCCACATGAATAACAAAGGTAAGTACATATTAAAGCATACAAATTACATATAATATGTTGGTAATCTAGATAAATCTATAATAGGTATTCATAGGTAGATATTCTAAACGATTACAAAGGTCATTATTTTCTTCATAACTAAACTATATATTATTTACAACATTGAGACGCCTTAAATTATTATATAAGTCATAAAATACATAATTAATGTTTAGTTTATAATTTAGTTACAGATATTCAAACATAAATGGAACAAATGTAGTATTATACAATTAACTTTTTTTTTCCGTTATATCGAGAGGAGGAACCATTGTACCGGTACTTCTCGTCCGGCCCTCATCGTTTATTGATAATAATTAATAATTAATTACAAAATCACGTAGCTGCGACGGGCCAATCTCCCGTTCGATAGCTATTACAATAGGTAATTACAATAATACTCTAGGGTTTTGCCTTCGGCTACATTTGTAAGAACTTAACTACATATTGTTTGGTGAATCTGGAGGTCTTTCTGCGGCCTGACGACGTCTTTTCTTATCCTCCTTTGCAGTAAGGATGTTTTCCACCATTCTATAAAAGTTTGAAAACTTCCTCCGCTTCTTTGAGAAACACGAGCTTCTCGATTGGATCCGGCGGCAGAGTCTTGAACGCTGGACTGCAAATAATGCCAGACACGTCGATGGTGCTCAGACGACGACCTGGCCGGGAGGTCAGCACTTTCCGGAATCCTTCCCAGTAGGAGCACTAGAATAATGTGTGTTCTGCGGTGTCCGAATCATCTGCACACTGCCAGCAACGCGGACTGGCGGCCCTGCCCAAACGATGGAGATACCACTGGAAACAACCATGGCCCGTGAGTGCCTGTGTCATGTGGAACGTCAGAGGCATCCACGGAACGGTCCTTCCCAGCCATCTTCCCAATGACGCAGCGCGTCCATGCCACTTTCGGGGTTGCTTGCTATCTAGCTTGTCCGGCACCGATCTTAACACTTCTCTTCCCACATTTTACAGATGGTTTGGAAAGCCGTTGTACACCAAAATTCACTACCGCGCGCAGTCGGGACCTGATACTGCTTCTCTCCAATCCGAGCAGATCGGAGGATGGTAGGCAGGCCAGAACCAAAGCGGCCTGGTCCGACACGATGTGGTAGGACAGGATCACCCTCATGGCGGCAGTCCTCTGTGGACGTATCAGAATCGCCCAGGTTCTGGCGACGTTTGTGATGGCGGAGATTCAGACGGGAGCGGCGTACATTAGTTGACTTTCCACAACAGCCGCTAGAAGACTCCTTTTCAATTGGACCGGCCCACCTATGTTAGGCATAATCCTTAATACAGCAGTGGCTGAGCGGCCGCCTTCGTTCGACGGTGTTCGCTTAAGTTACAAAAGTCAGACGCTTGTCCAAAATGATCCCGAGGTATCTGATCTCATTTCGCAACGGGATCAGGTGGCCGGGGTGGGACGAACGCCCGTCTCCGAAACAGGATCACCGTTTCACTCTTCTGATGAGCCAACTCTAGACCCCTGATCCGCACCCAGTCTTCGATGGCCATCAGTGTAGGATTGATTGCGTTTTTGAGTTACTGCCCGGTCACGGCTATCTTCATGACTGCAAGATCATCCGCGAAGCCGACGAGCTGCATCCCTGTTGGTGTGTCCATCATCAGGAGGGAATCATAGGCGACATTCCACAATGCTAGGCCAAGAACGAAACCCTGGGGCATTTCATAGATCACCGGCCTCTTCACCATCTCCTCGTCAGTCAGCAGCTTTTATCATCAGTCAGCCAAGACCGGAGAATCTCCACCAGGTACTTCGGGGTGTTGATACGCCTCAAGGTTACGTTAATTACAGGTCACCTCAAGGAATTGAAGGCATTCCTGATATCTAAAGTCACTAAAACGCAGAGACTCTTATTTCTCGGAGTGGTGGCTGCCTGTGAGGCAATGCTGAGTACCTTGCCAATTGCAGACTCCGTGCTGACTCCCTTACTAAAGTCGAACTGGTTTGGGGCTCTTCTCTTATTATTATATTATATATTCGGTTATATATTATTCGGGAATATCCATAATTAAGATATTATCGTTTCAATTACATATTGTAATATTTTTTGCTAATATTCGGGAATACCCATAATTAAGATATGTATTATCATTTCGATTAGGTTCATATGTATTGTGATAATATTTCGTTTAGTGGTGATTGTGCACCAGTGTAGACTGTTACATTTATTTTTTCCTCTGCTTAGTATAAAAACAACGTAAAATGACAACTTCGGTTAAACGTCAGAAAGTGACTGTAACAATGAAACAAAAAATCCAAGTTTTATTTCGTATTGATGCTGGTGAATCATTAACAAAAATCGAGCAAAAGTTAGGAGTGGGTAAGCAAACCGTTTCGAATTGAAAAAAAAAACGAATAGAAATTGAAAAATTTTGTGCGAAAATGGTGAGCGCGGACAGCTTAGGTAACAGACGCACGTTAAAAAAAACCAAACAACAAAGCTTTAAATGAGGCTTTGTACATTTGATTTGGTCAACAACGTGAACAAGGAGTTCCGTTGTCGGGTGTAACGTTACAAGCTATCGCGGTAAAATTTAATGAAAAATTAAAAGGAGATCCTACTTTTGCTACTAGTTTAGGATGATTGTCTCGGTGGAAAAATCGACATGGCATTCGTGAACTTCATGTAAGTGGTAACATTTTATCGGATGACAATGTTGCAAGTGATGACTTTAAAACAAAATTTGAAAAGTTTATTAGCGATGAAGACTTAATGCCTTGCCAAATATTTGATGCTAACGAAACTGGGTTGAATTACAAAATGTTTCCAAAAAAAACATTAGCTTCAAAACTAGATTCTCTAGCCAAAGGACATAAAGTGAAAAAAGAACGAGTAACTTTACGTCCTTGCAGTAACGCTTCTGGTGATTTAAAATTTCCACTTCTGGTGATCGGAAAATCAGCTAAACCTAGAGCTTTCAAAAACGTCAATATGAGTGCACTTCCTGCTCAATACACTTCACAAAAATCTGCTTGGATGAACGGAAACATTTTTAAAAATTGGTTTTTTAAAACATTTATGCCTACAACAAAGACATTTTTGAAACAAAAAAAAACTTCCAGAAAAAGCTGTATTGTTTATAGATAATGTTCCGTGTCACCCTAGTGAAAATGAATTACGAGATGGTGAAATGTACATGAAATTTTTGCCACCCAACGTAACGGCATTGATAAAACCAATGGATCAACGTGTGATTAAAACAACAAAACGGCTTTACAGAAAAAAGTTGATCGTGTTTCTTTTAGAGCAACAAGAAGCGAACCCGTTGGTTAACTTTATGGATCTTTTAAAAAAAGTAACAATAAAAACTGTTCTTTATTTAGCCGCAGAAGGGTGGGAAGGAATTAAGAAACACTTCAAAAAAGTTGGAAAAAATTGTGACCTAATATTCCTCAAGAAAACTATTGACAAGATGAAACAACTTCAAATGAAGACACTGATTTTATTCAAGTTTTTCAAGAGTTGAAAGGTTGTGCCGACGTGAAAGTAAATGATATTTCTGAATGGATAAACGGTGACACCGATGTTGGTCATCAGGTTCTCAGTGAAGATGAAATTGTAAATGCATGTATTGAAAACATAGAAATAGAAGTTGACAGTTCAGAAGATGGAGATGATGGTACAGATCAATCAACGGGCCCAACACATGGTGAAGCAACTGTAATGCTGGAGCAGTTGATGACTTACTTCGAGAAACAAAGTGAAACATCTTCTGCTGAGCTACTGACCTTTGGTCGTCTAAGAAATCGCACAGCGAAATTACGTCAATCATCATTAAAAAAAAAAAAAAAAAAAATATCTAGGAGTTTTTCAAGTCTTAATAATAAAAATAATAATGTGCATCTAATGTAAAATTTTAAATCAATAAATTTTGAATTCGTATAAATACATGAGGTGCTTTCTGCATTATATTAAATGTACTAAAATAAATTTAATAAATAATAATTAATTAATAAATTTTATTGTGTTATTATTTATAGTGTTTATTAATTAGTAAGTTAAAAAAAAAAAACGTAATTTCGTTTAATCCGGATTTTCGATAATCCGGAGAGAGTCTGGTCCCATCTAGTTCGGATTAGCGGGACTTTACTGTAATATTAGTACATTTACAAAAATTTGTTTTACAAATGCTGTAAAATTTTTAACTTTCTGTTTTATTTATAATATTAAAAAGAATATTATTGAAGCCTGGTATCATTTCAAATTTATGAGTTAATCGTTTTAAAGTTGAAATTGATCGTATTGAAAGAATATTCAATAAAAGTTTATAGACTTGTTCCTCAAAAATAAATAGTTAATACTAATTGTTTAATTTCATTATTTTATCTCTAACCTTATTTTTGTTTTATTTTAAAAATTAATTTGGGACATGACAATAGTGCATAATCCAGGTGATAAATATTTTTCACATAATCTTAAAAGATGTTCAATGTATCATAATTAGATTATTGTTGACTTAAACTTACTATATTCTTCTTTAAAATTATTTATTTCTTGTTTTTCAGATTTAATCTCCATAATCAGTTTTTGTTTCCTTGGTGTGTTTGCCGATAAATATCCAGGTGTTTGATTTGAAGAACCAGTAGTTATTGAGCTCCAAGCTTCATTTGAAGTACCAAAAGTATTCATGAATCCACTTACATGACTTCTTAATTCTTTATTGAATCTACAAAGTGATCGCCACATACTTTGTAACTATTTTTTTTTTTTTTAGTTCTTCAGTCAGATTTTCTGTACCACAATTTTTTATCAAACATATATTAAACAATCGTCTTTTGGATTTTGAAAAAACTTACATTCCTATTACTTGCTTTATTTTTGCAAAATTGTACAGAGAAACGCATTCCTGTTTTTTTACTGTTCATTTTTAAATTTTGTAACTCAAGAGCACACCAAATTGTATATATAAAAAAAAAAAATATTTTGAAACTTATACACTCGGTCAATGGTCAACTAATAAGTCACATGGAAATCACAAAAACAGCAACTAGATGCTAGGATAACCTAACTCTTAAGGGATGTGAAAGGTCAAAATCTAAACAATACAACCCCCACGTCACAAGGCATGACTAGGTAATTAGTATGAATTTCGATGTTGGCTTGGTAGGCTCCAGGTAGGAATCAGGACATTATTTTTATCATGTTTGTAACAAAACTTAAAGTCTGTAGAACTATTTTATTTTGCTAACTTTTTTAGTTACAGAATTATAACAATAAGAATAATAAATAACAATGAGGAAGAATAACAATTAATATTAATGATGATAATAATAATAATCAATAATAACAATAACAATAACTATTATTGTCTCACAATTCGGTATACAATTACTACATATAATACTCGTTGTCGAGCTTACAAATTTTTACACGGCATAGATTACTAAGTATTACTCACAAAACCGAGATATTAGTGTTCGTACTGGGCTCTCACGTACTGTGGGCGGACACTGGTCGGCTGGTGGCTCGTTACACTCGGACGGCGACGGCTCACACTCTCTTCAGCGGCACAGAACACTGTGTTGCTGCTCACGGGATAATGTGAGTACTTGGGGCAGCTATGGATTATGCAATACGTATGGTACGATGATTACTTTGAATCAGTCATACCCATATGCATAATCGATAGCGCGTCCAGGTACGGGGGGAATATCTTGTACGCAGATTTCGTGACCATTATATGCGTGATATCTCCTTGTGTAAACAATAGAAGTGTCTAATATCTGTATAGCAATCGGTAGTATATATGCAGGTTCGTAAAAGGTCGGCTCATCGCGCGCTACCTGGTCTGATGAGTTTCGATAATAATATTTAATCAGCCGGTTTTGACGCCTTGAGGGCGATATTAGAATGTACGCTATATTCAGGAATATGCTGTCTCGTTACATGTTCCAAACGAAATTTCATACCTGCACTGTGGTCACACTGATTTCATCGCGGAGATAATATTCATAGTTTTTGTTTACTTCCCGAGTGAGCTATTTGTTTTCATATAGTCTGTGCCTTACTCTGTCGACCCACGCAGAGCAGAGGGTATTGAGACATGCATCTGTAACAGAGCCGTGAGCAATGTGTTTGTGACAATATCAATAACTTGCAAATGAACGGAATGTGACAGGGAACGAACGACGTTTTTGAATAACTCGTCGGTTCAGTACTCACTGAAAACATTATGCCAACTGGGTATGAGAGAATGTACTACGATGGTATAAAATAGAGCGAAAATAACTGTGATAGAAATGAATGTGCATTTATTGCATCTCCGTTTACGTGCACAACAATATAGTTTAATAATAGTGAGTACACTATTTACATGTTTATTGAAAATTTTATGAAACTCATGTACTTAAAACATCGACATCGGTAATGTATTACATTAAAGGAATTGTATGCAATGATTTTATTTCTCTTTCTATCATACGTGCAGTATAGGAAATTAGACGTTTTATATTTCAAACGTACCGATATTAGACCGACTTTCTCACATGTCTTAAATTTTGTATTTAACATACCCTAAAATTAATTTTTATGTTTTGAAATTGTTTGATCCTATTTTGTGAAATTTTGGGAGACAAAATCAAAAAGTAGGAACGTCGATCTAAAGAAGACTTTTCGAAGAATTCAAATCAGTTTTCAAAATTTTTATCACCTTTATAGATCAATCGAAAACGTCTAAATCCTTATATTGCGCGTGTGATAGAAAAAAAAAAGAAAATCATGGCTTGCAATCCCCTTAAATTAATCAGAGAGAAAAGTAATGTTATAAGATGTCACAAATAATAATATTCATCTTCTGTTGTAGTTTAATATCGATTATAATAATTGTCTATACATTTTCAATCGACAATGATTGCGATCATTTAATCATTCATACGAAAAACTTGAAATCGTGCACGACAGAAAAAAAAAACTAAAATAATGCAAAGTTTATTATCATTAGTCACGGTCGTTAACGCGCAAGTAGTATTAATATAAATTGGTTTATTTACATTTATATGGCGATAAAGTTTTTGAAAACAAATCCCTTCGTCTCGGCCGTTTAATTATTAACGTTATTTCGATCCCACAGCTATTGTTTAATTATGTTTGTTTTAATGAAACTACATTGCAATGGAGCACGGTCGGTAAAATTCACTAAGTGTTGTAATTATTATTTAATTGAGCAAGAAGGTCGCCGTCCGGCCGCCGCCGACGACGACGACGACGCTGCCAAAAACAGTCTCCCTCTCTCTCTCACTCCATCCCTGTCATACACACTAATCCGTCGCTCGTGCTCACCCGCCGAAATGAGCGGACGAGGCAACAAATGTCCAATCGACCAACCCGGACGCAGTGTCGGCCGGCCAAGGTTCGTCGACGACCCTTGTCGAGCCATGGGGCGGTAGTGTTGTTTGAAACAACCTGTGCGTGACACGACATAAAAGTACATCAAGTCTCCAGATCTTCGTGATGTCTAAAGCGTGGGAACTGGAAGACTTAAGAATATCAAGTTTTTCGAGAAGAGAGCACTTCCGCCTATCAAATTTCAAAGGATAAAACACGATTGCGTATGTTCGTTATCGGCGATACGTTTTTAAGCTACACGATTCCGTTCGATTTTACCTGATTTTTAACTACAAGATTGCGTACGAAGTTTTAAACGTTGATGCCAATATTCATACAGGTATGGGTGTATAACACATGCCTTTATAAGAGAATTTAAAATAGTTAATAAATACTTTGTGTTTTATTGCTTTTATCACCTATGTTTATTGTTAATGATATTAAATATATCAGATGTAACGAAGTTTCGTTATTTCCATTATACGGTATTTTTTGAGTTTCAGTAAAAATAGTAGGTTATAGATGTCGAGGAATTCAAATTTATGCATTTTAAAATAATTTATCAACAATAATTTCAATCAAATAAAAACTATCGATTTTATTTATTTATTAATTACTTTTATTTTATTTAATTATCCTCATATTATTTATTATTTTATTATTAATATTTATTATGAACTATTATAGAACTAATAGTATATGTATTCTATATTTATTAAATATAATACCGTGAAATTCGTAAATTTGACAACGTTGCATACAATTTCATACGCAATCGTGTTTATTTATTTTTTTTACCCATCTACAAACGTACGCAATTGTGTTCTACCCACTTCAAACGCGCCTGCCCGACCGCACGTAATTCATTTCCCGACTCTTTGGTCGGACTTTCGATGCGAATCGACCACGTTCGCGTTAGGCGATGGTCGGTAGGTACGTCGTGCGATCGTCGCAAGCGAAATAAAACGAGGTTGAAAAATCCCGCGGAGAGTATCACGTGATGATCATCGTACCCGGTCGAACGCTTTCCGCATTTCGAATTTTACGTCGACGGAGACCGACTCGAGCGCATTGTTGTTGCGACCATTCGAAATACGTCGACGAAACGTTCGCGTCGCGTTATTACACGGCTAACCGAATACGAACGACCGTTTGCGTTGTTTTCCGACCGTCCGCGAAACGTACGTTTATATATTATCATCACGTAATGTTATCGTTACGATAACTCATATTGTACAGTCGAAAACGATGTGTTTTCCAGTGGCACGGTTCGTAAACGTATTCCGTTTTGTAAGACATGGGACGTTCTGATTGTGAAAACGTACACGCAACATATACGAGTGGTTAAAAATTTACCAACAGGACGGAACCCGAAACCGAGTAATATTTTTGAAATGCGTGTCTACATCAGTTTATTTTTTCATGTTTGAACCGCAAACCGCGGATGAAATTTTATTCGGTGCCGAACGATGAAAATACTAAAAAATAAAAATAATAAATGTGACCTGAAAATTTCCATTCCGTGCGTTTTTTACACGGTCTATACTTCTTGCAGCCGCGACTAGTCGGTTCCACTACTCTTTGTCTCATCGCACCGATTATGCTTGAATTCATCGGATGGATATATTACACGAGTCACTAGTATTATATATACCTATAATGTACCACCATTGACCTGTTTGCGGGTGGAAAACAAATACGTCTTGAACGAAACTTTCATCAAACTGGGTCAACTATCGCACAGCAACGATTTTCGAAATTGGTGAATTTCCATAAAGATGAAACTATACAGTTGTAATGCACACGCGACTGTGCTTGAAATGGTAGCCGGTTGAAATGTCGACAATGAAAATATCGACAAGTTAAAACGTCGACGGTCGAAATATCGACAGGTAAAAATGTCGATAGGTTTTTATATCGATAAGTACAAAATGTCGATAAGTCAATA